TGATGTTCCTGGATTTCCCGCAGGAATAAAATTGAATGGACAGTTAGGGTGTTGCAGGGGCATCCGCTATCGGATATCATGCCGAATGGCATTAAAATTTGCATTATTAATTAGAGGAGACTCAAAATGTTTGATTGGACGGTTTTACGTCTGTAGCCCGGCGTTTTACTGCCCAGCTTGCCGAGTTGTAAAATATAATGGAAGGACAATTTTTATCTGGAATTAAACCCCATTAAACCGCCACTGAGTTACGTGCCATTAAACAGCCATAGCTGGATGGGCTTTTGTTTCAAAGTAATAAAACCTGCAATTTGCCTTTATAACGACAATCAGCACCTTAAATCTCGTAGCGCTGTACCGCGACACTAAAAAGTTATGGACTTTGATAAAAATTTCCAACTTTTTCGGCGGCGTTAATTTTCACATTTGCTTAGTCAGGAGGGCGCCAGTTTTTTGCCATTTTAATTGCAATTTAACAAACCATTCGAGGCGCACTTAATGATCTGTTCGGACGTTTTAAGTGAGCACTCGATTCGATGACTGCGAAGCTTCCAGTTTTTCTTCCGGCATTTTAAGGCCAAAACATTGGATTGGAGGCTTGAAGTTGTGTTTGTGCAATTTTGAAACACTAGTGTTCGTTTACATCAGTGAAACTCTCCTAGCGGTAAATTGCGGAAAAGCGCCCGTCTGGTGCATTTTTAAGTGCGCTTCAACTGGCACATTTCTCTATTTAGACATCAGTTGAGCGCCAAGTTAGTTCAAATAGGTTTTACCATAATGTGAAGGGGACCCAAACTAAACAGCGCTTATTATAATATTCATGCGACCGACTTTTTAATAACTTCTAAACTAATTTGAAATTCCGCTAAAGTTCCCTTTAGAACTTTTCCTTGCTGCTTTACAATACTAATAATTATACCGTGCCAGTTTCTCGGGAATATCGTTACATTTTTCGAGAACGTTAAATGAATACTTTACTCGGCGTCTCAGGTGAACATTAAAAACCCGCATAAAAGAGAGTAATATACCAGGGCAATAAGTGAGTTTATATTTTACCATGATGAGCCCCCCACTGGGGTACATATGAAAAGTTTTACTGTTACATCTGTGCCATGCAACATTGATGAGGGCAAACTGGAAACTTTCGGCTGGATATGTGCAGGAAATTCCACTAAAGGCCTTTTGATGCGCACCAGCAGGGTTTCCATATTCAAAAAAGCCTTGCGTCCCATCCTGGCAAAACATTCGTAAATGCCGATTTAATATACATTGACGTGCTTCGATTCTAATGATTTGCTTGGAGAGCTGATTTCTCATTCAATAAAACGACCTTCATTGCTTCGATTTACATACATATTTCGGTTAGTTGGATATGGCGCGTTTGATTTCCATATTTATTTGGCCTGGTCAGGCGTTTTTTCACTAAATTGCCTCCTTGGGGCTGTAGAAAGGGCGGCATATAAATATTGTTAGACTAATTCCCTGCAAATTTTGGCTTCAACGTAACAGGTAAAACGTTTTCTTGCATGTTCTTGGCCCGATTAGGATTACTGGATCAGCCGTGGCATGTGTCAGAGCAATTTGCGTCCAGGCTCGCTATTTTGTCATCATTTCTCAATAAAATTCACAGGCAATAACAGAAATTTTATTGTGGGGAATTCTTAAAAATGCGCGGTTCTCACGACATGTTCAATCCGAAATTTCTGCAGTTTTTTCGAAGGATTAGCGGTGAGTGGACAAAATAAGTTGAAAAATAGCTATTATTAAAACAGAAGAACTCATTTTAATTAACACCACACAATAGTAAAACACCACATTTTTACGGAGTTGCAAAAATTCATAAAGTTAATATTCCTTTACGACCAATAGTTAGTAGTATA